ACATCACCAATTAACCTCAGCATGTTTCTGGACTGTGGGAGGAAGCTGGAGAACCCGGAGAGAACCCACGCTGCACGGGGAGAACATGGAGACTCCATGCAGAAAGATCCCAGGTGTCCTCATCGGGATGCAAACCGGCGACCTTCTATCTGTGAGGCGATGATGCTAACCATTGCTCCACCTTGCAGCCCCCAGATCCCCTCAATGTGGAATTCATCTTTAAAATGAGTATTTTGTGCAACAACGCCCGACGATAATATCAAACTCTGTTTATTTGTTGAGGAGGAGCTGCCCTTCTGTTTTCTTTACATATCACATGAGCATACGAGCATCACAGTCATCAAACACACACCGTCCATCACGGTCCTGGACCCTTATTATTGATGTCTTCATGCAGATGTCACTTGAGGCACAAGTTCCACGAGACAGCTGAGTATTATGAAGAGTTCATTTGCAAAAACAGGTAACTCCATTTTTGTAGATTTTCAGAGAACTTATTTTTGTTGTTGTTTGAGATGATATCGATCAAACTGAAGTTGAGTGGATTTGACTCGGTAGATAACTTAACTTTGATTGATATCGTCTCAGGTAGATGATGGAACAGTGGGCTTTCTGAAGGTTTGTGAAGACGGAGTTGTCTGTTTTTTGCAACTGAAGCTCCTGCCATCACGAACCCTCTCTCAGTGTCACTCAGATCTTTTTCTTCTGTCATCTTGATTCAAAATCTGAATCAACTGCTCAGCATTTTAGACATGCCACAGTGATTGGAGGGTAAGATCTTAATTGCACCACGTGGTGCATGTTGCAGGTTTTTTAGGTTTTCCTTTTAAATGTTCACCCTTCTATCAGCACAGGGCCGAAGTAAAGGCAGCTTATTATGTTATATCTGTACTTCAACCCATCAGACAGGTCAAGAGATGGTCAACTCACATCGTATTATGTCCCTGTTTCAAAATATCACCTTTCCTTATTTGCCAATCTGCTCCAAAATTGTCAGAGTCACGGGGTAAACAGGAACTGGGGCCAGCATGGCGTGCATCGACCACATTTCCACAGCAGCTGGAGTGCTATGTGGAGGGTCGGGTCTGGAAAGCCACACGCTTCGGGCAGCCAATGGGAATTGAGGTTGAAAACAGCAGGAAGTGAGCTGGAAAATGGGATTAAATATGCACCAAGCTTCACCAACATACCAAAGGGCTAACAGTCAGGAGCCAGGGTGGCTGCTGCTCAGCGTGGCGTTCAGGCGGAGGGGGAGCGCCGTCACCCGGCCTGGACGCTCCTGCTCCTCGGCGGAGGAGCTCTCACCAAGGTCAGGCCGCATTACACAGACAAATTAGTCACCGGAGGAACTTTTGTGTCCTCTGCAGAAGCACCACTGTTCCTCCTCGGACACCTGCAATGAACTATTTCACGGGCGCTGCTCCCCAAGGTCCTCAATGTCACGCCTTGATGCCTGCTCCCTCATGAATGCTCCGGTGACGGCAGCGTCCCTTGAGTCAGCAAGCACTAAAACATCCAGCTGTGGAGAGGAGGGCCCGGTTGAATGTCACTGCAGCAGCCGTGGGCATCGTAGACACTCCTACTGCCGTCACACCGGTCCAACCGCTGTGTTCTGGGATCGTATGTTTGGAAAAGGTGCATCTCGGGTGACAAAAGATATTACCATCATCCGTTTGGCCCCTAATATGTGAGACTTTTGAGTTGAGTTTCATTTGTTGTGCTCACAGAACGGATCACCCGCTGGTTAGACGCTGCTCTGGTCACCTGAAAAAAATGTTTTATGTGTGCATGATTTAGGTGAATTGCACCTTTAAGGCATGCACACATGACTTCTTTTTCTTTTCCAAGGAGGAATGCAATGTGGAGACAGTTCTTCTGTTGAAAGGAGCGTGCAGCCAAACTTCCACGGCGTGACCCTTTTACTTTGTGGACATATGCTTTGTGCATCGACTATACAGCTAACAGTGAGCCCCGGTGGCTCCCGCAGATCCATTTCACACCCAAATGTGAAAAAAACTGAACACTGACAACAAGTGGGCTCCAAAGTCCAGCCGGCAAAGGTGTTGCACAGGTGAAAATGTCTGTTTTACGCCCGTAACATCAACAGCTGTGTGCTTATAACAGATATACTGATATCAGCATATATGTCAGCTGATTAGTAACAAGAAAAAACAGTTTTACATTTTTTTTCCTCAAATGTAAACCACCCTGCTCCTTGCATACATGTCTTAACAATCAAATCAAAAATGTTTAGGAGCATTAGCCAGTATGTTTTTCTTTATGCATGATATTGATATCATGACTAAATGAGCCACAATCAAAGTGAAGCGTTAAAACATCTAACAATGTTGTTAATTAGCCGTTTTAACTGTCAACTCACTGCTGATGTGCTTCATTAGGACCCACAGTGGTTTCCTTGGTAACACAAGCCAAAGAGCTCGACACCGTCACCAGTCTCACGTCGTTTACTTTGTTCATGGAGTTACGTGACGTCGGGTTTCTGATACGAGCCACAAGCACAGACATCTGTCACATGAAGTCACTGAAGTTGCTCTCGTGTTTGGAAAGTGTTGTGATCGAGGATGCAGCGTCTCAGAAGAAGGAGCTGAGCAGAGAAAACAAGATGTTTACTGAGTCTGTTTTTAGTCTAATGTCACTTTTTTTCATTCATTGAGCAAGATTACGTAACTTTTCACGCAGGAAATGACACAATCTTCCTCTTACATGTTAAATGTTGAATTAATGAGGAACAAAAAACGCAGCTTTACGCTCAG